CGATCATTTGAGGGTTATGCTAGAATGCTAAATTCCAACAGTCCTCTTCTTTCGTGTTTATTAAGAAAAGAGTTTCAAAGTTGCAAAGACCTAGGTCAAATTTTTTATTAAGAAAATATGCTCGATGTTGATCGAGGTTTATTCATGAAAGGGTTTTAAAATGATCGGAAAGGTTGATGGCGATGCGTGAGATAATTGACTTACAAGTTGGGTGTTTTAAAAGGGAGTTTGATGTTGAATCAAGAATTAGTTTGAAAAAGGGCTTGTCAAATGAAATAAGTTAAAATGGTGATCAATTGGTGTTGACCAATGTTTTTGAAAATGGATCTTGGTGTTGATCAAGTCCTTTTGATTTTTGAAAGATTGATTTAACACTTTTGTCGGTTTTAGGTTATTATATTAACTTCTATCTAAAATGAGAAACACAAACCACAAAAAAATCATGCACAAGGTAATCATCAAAGCAAATAACCTCACAAAAAAATCATCAAGTAACCTCAAGTGAGAACCCTAATCATGCATCATGAATGAACATTTAAAATGCACTATAGAGACATCAAATCAATAAGACAAAGTATCCACACATGAAAAAGATTAACATTCAAGCAAATAACTCAAGTCATTAGATTTTTAAATCATGTGAAAATATTAGGACATAACAACAACCAAAACATGACATCAATATGATATCAAACATGAAACACAACGAGAAAAAAAAAAGGACCAAGCATGAACTCATCACGAACAAAAGCTAATTGTTAGGCATGATCAAGGGTACATGTGGTCATGAAATAAATAACAAAATAAATTAATGAACATAAATATTTTAAGATTTCTAATATGAAAATAAGAATGATGAAAATAAATAACTAAATGAAAATAAAATAATTTTTTGGTTTGTTGAAATAATTAAAAAAATGAAAATAAGAAAAAGAAAAAGAAAATAAATAAATATAAATAGTAATGGAAAGAAAAAAAAAGAGAAAGGAAGGGAAAAAATGAAAGAGAGAAAAAATGATAGGGGTAAAAGAAGGGGGAGGGCGCTGCGTATTGAACCTACGCCCTCAGGATTGCAACAAAACAACTCAGACACTAGGGCAGACACATTGGCCTATTACTCATTTTCCGTTACAAAGATAAATATTAAACATAAATTTAAAAAGGAAAAAAATGGCGCGTATGACCATCTTCTTCCTCACAACCTCCATCAAAATCCAAAATAGAATTTTCTTAAAACCAAACCAAAATGCAAATGTGAATACCATCTTGCTCAAAATTTTGTGAGGATTCTAAATATGGCCATTGTTTTAATTTATTTTCACCCTATAATGAGAATTTTAATGAAAACCAGAAAAAACCTAAATGTTCAAAGTAAAATTAAATAACATATGTAAATGATCAATGAGCAAAACCTTAGGGCTTTCAATGACAACATCAATAAAAACACAATGGTAATAAGAATGAGTTAAAAAGATGCATGCAAGTGTGAGAACCAAAAATAGAAATATACCTCAATAGAGTGAACTCCTGCCCTATCCAAATGAGCTCCCAACAATGAAGTAATGATCCTCCTAGCTTCCTTGAGTTCCCAAGAGTGTGATGATGTGCATACAATGCTTTAAAACCTCTTAGATCGTTCTTACCAAATCAACTTGCATATGAGAAAAAATGAGGTTTGGCTATGGTGTTCGGGGTGTTTCAGGTGAGTTTCAATACATACCAAAGTTTGTGGTGATGTATGGAGTGTATTTGTAAAGGAAAAATGGAAGGAAGGTGGGGGAATTGTGAGATTCGAATTTTTCACTTTAATGGAGGTTTTGAGTTTTTGATACCATGCCCTCTCTCTCTCTCTCTCTGCTCTTGCTTGTGTCCTAATGTTATGAGGCTTACTCTTTATTTATAGAGGTCTTAAAACTAGGTTAAGACTTACTTTGATCAGATCCATGGTTAGGCATTTGTCTTTTATGATCACTTTTCACAAAAAATGGAAAATATGGCTCTATGTACCAAGGCTTGGATTCTTGACTTGTATGACACTTTGAGCTCTCAATTCTATGCTTGGCAAGTTACTTTTGACATCAAAGCTCAGTTGCATCAGAACTTAACCTTGTTCCACAAGTTTTAACCAACTTTTAATTTTTCACAAAAAGCCAAAATGCTAATCCCAAGTGGTCAGTTTTACAACAGGTTTGTCCTTATTGTAGGGGTGTCTATCTTGCACAAAATTGTTATCAAAATGAAGCAAGCATGGAAAGGAAAAAGTCATATGTTGATTGAAAGCTGAGGAAATACTTGGAAGATGTTGAAAATTGGCTCCAAATTCGTGTGGATCAAACTGAATTTGACACTTAGAAAAATTCTAGTTCATCATGCATTTCATCTCATTGTAAAACCCTAACTTTGACCCCTCATATCTCTCAATTGGAAAGAGCTTCTTGGACCAAGTTTTCCACAATGAAGAAGTAGTAAGTATGATCTTCATATTCAAGCCTTAAGTGTTTCAATTGGATTCCTAGATTGATCACAAATTATCCATGGAAAGGTCAAAAACTTAGAAAATTTTCTAAGTGTTTTGAATTTTGCAACAACTTGAAACCTCAACTTTGGCCATCAATTTCTTCCATTTCAAGAAAGATTTTGGCTTCAAATTTTCATCAACTTATAGTATCAAATGTCATCTTTAAATGCAGCCCTCGGGTGTTTCATGTGGATGCTTGAGGAAGAAGTTACAAACTTGAAAAGTTGGTCATTTGATCATGGATTTTTGTACTTAGTGAAATTTAAAAAAAAAACTAATTTGAAAAATTCTTCTTGATTTTATTGATTTAGCTTGATCAAACTTAATTATCTTCCATAGTTTCATGGTTCTTGACTTGAGAAGTTCATGGTTAACCAAAAATGTCAAAAGTCAAACTTTGACTTTGAGCATCTGTTGACTTTTGATCAGTTGAATCAAAATTCCTCCACCATCAATGAATCCAACTTCTTGAGTCAATTTAATCCTATGAAAGGATCACAATGATACATTTGAATCCTTTGAAATACGTTCCAAGTCATGAGATCATGTTTTGGTCAAAAAGTCAACATCAAGCTGATTTTGACCAAAACGCTAATTTGAAGCATATGATAGATTGAAACTTGATAAACTTGAATTGATGCCAATTTAAATTTGATTATTTATTGATGGAATCTCTTGATTAATATGCATTAGTTGAGGAGCTTGAGATGTTGGGGATCACACTAATCTTTTGATTGATCAAACACTTGAACTCCTTGATGGAAAACCCTAACTTACGGACAAGGCAAACAAAACACACACAAGAAATGATTGATGATGTGCAAATGAAGGAACTTAGGTGGAGAAAAATTTAAGGTATGATAACTTGTTTGAGTGTATGCCATTAGCTAAGTATTTAATTAGATAACTCCCAACTTCGTCATATGAACATTTTTTGCATAACTTCACCAAAGTTGAACAACTCTTAACTTTATCTTATGAACTGTCTATACTTGACTTCATCAAAGTCTTCCATAAAGTATAATAAAACTTTTATCTTAATAGATAAGCAACATCCAAACCTCATTCAAGGAATGATTCATGCACATGTTACAAACAAAAAATTTCACACAAAAATATTACATACCTAATTCACTATTAGTCTTCCTGAAACGAACAATCTTAAGATACCACAACACTGGATTAAGACTAAGGTTGAAGATGGTGAATATTTCCAAAAGAATTACACACATACACACTATTTTAAATTTAAGGTGAAAATTTGGAATTTTGAAGTTATGATTTGAATCACCATTCAAATCCATGATTCTAGTCCGGGGCAAATCATGATTCGAGTCATTCAGTGTTGTGATTTAACTCGCTTAATATCCATTATTCGAATCAAATCAAGCAGCGCCTAATTCTAGATTTTATGCAAAGTTGTGATTTGAGTCAAGTTATTCTTGTGATTCAAATCAAATCACGCAGTGTCAAAATCCAATTTTCACAAATTGTATAATTTGAGTCACATAATATACATGGTTTGAATCAATTAACTTAACACCTTGATTCAAGTATTCTAAATTGTGATTCATGCAAGACTTGATGAAAAGAAATAGTCAACTTTCTAGACTAAAAAAGAACACACAATATAATGGACCAACATTCTAATTAATTAAATCATGAAGGGACTAAAGGTACAATACTACATAGCCGAAACACATAGAAAACAATTAAAAAACAAACAAATTAATAACATGCAAAAAATCAAATATACATACACTTAAATTGACAGAAACATCAACCATACGATACCATGAATGCAGTTTCATACACATTTAGACGAAGATTTGGGTAAGATCCAAAAGATGATTGGAAGTACACGAGGAACATGTACACGATTTTAATTTCTAAAGATTAATTACATATATACCACTTGACTAGCATTGTTAATTATGTTGGTGATAATAATCAGGTTGCTTATCTAAACAATGTGCATTAAGGATACATTTTTTCGTATTTGGTAGGCATAACCATGTTCATGGACAAAACTATGACCAATGTGGATGTTGTTTATATTAATTACTTCACAAAGTGTGATTGATAGGATTCAAGATATAATTTAGGATAACTTGTTTGATTTCCTTGTACTCAAAACTAGATGAAACAAGTTAGTTCACGACAAGACAAATGACATGAAACAATTGTCTAATTCATGTGATATATAAAAGTGTAGATTATTAATTTTATTGTATTTATATATAAAGCATTAATGATCCAAAAGTCGGTCATTATACAATTTTCATATCCATGTCATATAAATTTAATTTGTATTTGTATAAATATACATGTCATATAAATTTAATTTGTATTTGTATAAATTTTATGTCATATACAAATGTTGCACTTCCTACACATGATCATTGAAAAGCTGCTTGCGCATTTTTGCCTTCCAATATCATTTCTAATTTCATATAAACTAAACACTAAATATAAGTTTCTATCAAATCTCAATCTCTTTATCTTTATCTACTCTTGATTTCAAGCTACTTGATACTTCAAAATGAGGCTCCACAGAACCATTAGAAACATGATAACAATGTTCATAACTAGCCCTCATAGTCCAAATCAGAATCAACAAAACCATGACCACTCCAAGAAACACCATTCCTACCCATGCCATCTTAGCATATTTCTTCATAGGCTTGCAATGGTGAACAAGAACTTGAGAAAATGCATCTTTCACAATTTGACATTCTAACAAATGTTCCATACTTGGATACACATTCAATAAATCTTGAATTGAGTTTGTGTATGTTTCAACTCTTGCATATTCACTATTTGTTATCAAATTTCCACTCTTCAATACCTTAACAAGAGAATCACATTGTTAATATATATCTTTGTCTTATAATTTAGAAAATATTTAAAACACGGCGGTTTCACTTTAGTCCTGAAAATATTGTTTCTTGAGACTAAAGTTAAACTGCCGTGATTTGATAGAGACTGATAAAGTTAATATACCTTTGGAATGTCTCCTATTCGTATAGTATTTTCGGGACAATTCTCGGGCTGGTAGAAATAATTTGGCGGTGCGGAGAAAGGGTTGCAAACTTGAGCAAGGTTTAGATATGATGGTCCCTGCATTGTTAGGTTTGCATTCACCTAGAAAAATGACCAATAAAATTACTTCAATATAGTATTAATTTGGAAAGGAATATGATTTTTTAGATTATAGAAAACTTACGTCATTAACAAGATGATAGATTCCAGAACTAAATTCAGATAGAACTGGTTTTGCTTTGAGAAGTTCTTGACATGGAAGGATTGAGCTTAGGCTGTTGTTATAAGGATTTTCTTGAAAGTTGTCAAGAGCTATGCAAGCATCACTAGAAAATCTACAATATGTAGGGATAATTTAGTAATTTAACCTAGGATGGACGCAAAATTTCCGACTCTGACACTGACATGTCAGACATTTGTAATAATTTGAAAAATAAATAAATAAAATATAATCACAAATGTCGGTGTCGGTTTCGAACACCGAAACTAACACAGACACATCTTTTTTCAGAGGTGTCCGTGTTACAGAGAATCTAATTAGGACTTTATATTTACTTTTGTAAGAATAAATAGACTCCAAAGAATAGCCAGCATAATACTGTCATCAACCAACAAAATGCAACAAGCCTGTGAAAAAAAATAGAGGAGAAAAAATAAATATAAATGTTAATTTTTGTAACATGTATCATATATGAAATTTGTAAACAAAAAAAATTTAAATTTTAGCATGCTCACATGTACAATGACCTTCTTAACCTTAGTACTCCACAAACTGTTGACAGAAAATTTCAAAGTTATATGAGAAATTGAATCATGGATCATTCATTATGTGTATAATAATATATAGAAGAATTTCTTCATTGAAGTGTAAAATCAAAGCAAGATTTTATTACCTGACAAAACTGTTACAGCAAGCAAGTTCAAGCACATAATCACTATAGTAGTTACAAACCTGCAATCACAACGATTTCGGAAAAGAGATTATTGAATGTTTCGCGTCACATGTGCCAATATTGTGTCTGGTACGGGACGCATCAAAGACACTAACACATGCACCATGATAATAGTTTGAGAAACGGATTATTGAATGTGTCATGTCACATTTGCCAACATTGTGTCTGGTATCGGACATGACACGCACTCTGACATTGAGAAAATCGATTATTAAATTTGTCATGTCAGATGTACTAATACTGTGTCTGATATCAGATATGCCTTCAATCAGAAGTGTTGGTACTAGAGTGAAAGAGTCTTACACTATTTTCAAGCCTTTGTTGATAAGGCGCCTATTCTTCCTAGCTTGCATCTCAATATTTTCTGAGGCATCATCAAGTTTCTCAGCAGTAGAGTCAAGATTTGAAGAAGCCTCAATATTAACATTTGCTTCCATCAAACTATTCTCCATGCCTTTTAATGCTTCTGTGGTGTTATGTATTGTTTCCGACGCTTCATTCGCAGTTTTGATTATGATATCAACCGATATTTTCGCTTCCGAATGAAATCTCACACTCCCAACAAGAACTAGCCCTGTTGCAACTCTACAAAATTCAAGAATCATGCATAAATCAACATTTTATTTACATATACACAACACGACCGCGATTAAAGCGGCATCAAACACATTAATCTGTCACAAAATCGAGTAACTTACATGGCGATTAACATGAGAAACAAGGCCACAAGAATTAGTGAAACATCACAAGTCTTGTAATTACAAGGAAACAACACGTTCTTCATTCTGTTTTCTTCTTCATCATTTTCGCGATAACAAAACTTATTGATTACCAAAAAACCTCCATACAATATTCCACACAGAAGGAACAACATTCCAATTGCATATCCATATACTCCTGTGAAAATCAAAGACTACAAGCAAAAAAAACATTAAAAACATGTTAACAAAACATCATTGGTGTCTAAACTTAGCCTAAAAAGAAAAGTGAAAAAATTTACACTCCAATAATTCTTGTTGGTGATGTCGAATCCTCCTCTATACTTTTCGAAATTTTCCAAAGGATCAACTCTAACAGTATCATCCTTCTGCCTAATCTGTTCCGTCGCGTTATCTGCACCAAACATAAACATTAACATAAACATAGTAGTTAATGTTTCAACATTAATAAGAAACCAAATAATCAATTACCTGCAGCAGAACCAGTAGGTGAGAAAGCTTGTGCTGAAATTTGTGGCAGAATCAAAACTATGATCACTACAATAGATACCAAATCTTTGGCTATGAACATCTTTAACCTGCAAATTTAACTAGATGAGTTTCCATGGTTTATAAACTTTATACTATGCATATAAATGTAGAAGAAGCAATCTTGAATGAACTTTATTAGAGAAATATTTCATAGTATAATTGAGTTACAAGAAAAGAACATTGTGACATGTGAAAGTGCATGGAATTTTTCAGAGTAACTTACTTGAAAAATTCAGAAATGAAATCTAATAGCAAAATTCTTCATCTTATAATATATCACATTTTTCAACTCTCATAAAGAGTGCAAAAAAGCATAAGAAAACGCCTAACTAATTTTTCTTTAGTCAAATGGTAAAGTGCAAGAAACCAAATCCAACATCTAAACTGAAACACTTTTAAATATAGTTTTGGTTGTCCTACTATAATTTTTTATATATCAGATATGAATTCTCGGAAGAAAAGTTTTTACGCAATAATAATTTTCGAGAGATAATTTAAAATCGAACGGTTTAAACTTTAATTCTAGTTCTACACGTTAGAATAATCTTGACTGTTATTTTGATCAAACAACTATAATTTATATCTTATTACGCTATAAAATTATTAATGAATAAATAAATTATTGACAAAAAGTATAAAAAAAAATGAATTTGAGTATTTTTTTCTCAAATGTTGGTCAATAATATCATTTTTGTTATATATATATATATATATATATATATATATATATATATATATATATATATATATATATATATATATATATATATATATATATATATATATATATATATATATATATATATATATATATATATATATTGAAAATCTTATTTTTTATATCAGAACATTAGAATAAATTTGAACTATAAATAAATGGATGAGAGAAGAGAGAATTTTGATAAATAAAAAAAATAATATTTTAATTTAAATTATTTATTTTAATAATAAAAAAGAGAGAAAATTAATTGAGAAGAAAAATGAGATACAATTATTATGTGGTATATATTATTAATGTTTTCCTTTTTTATTTATTTAAGGAAAGTAGGAACAATTACTTTTAAATACTTTTTCTTATGTTAGATTAAATAAAATATTAATGTTCACGCACCTAGTCATGAATGGTGAGAATTGAAGCAATTTTGCTTCTTCCATTGGTAATTTTTTTATAAAAAAGAAAGTTATATAAAAAAGTGATAAACTCCAAATGAAATAATAAAAAGTAAATTAAAAACAACTTTACTGAATGTGAAGGCTAAGAAAAATACAAAATAAAAGTAAAATCGTGTGAAATACTCCTCTAAAGTTGTGAAAAAGATTGAATTTAATTGGTGTGAAAATTTGAACCTAATCCACTTATGAGACCTCATAAGTCATAAACAACAACTCCAAACATTCAAACACTATACATTAGTTTGGTCTTTTTCAAAATAGGATTTTAAAGTCAAAAATGTGACAAGGCATGACTTTCTAGTGGTAACATGTCATGGCTTTTTTTCATACATGCTTTATAAATTATTGTATTTGTTTTACCAATATTATTATTATATTATGCACAAACATAATCTAGTCTAAGTATTGGTGCAAATGCATGCATACAAGTGAAATATGTCTATATATGCACCTTTTTTCTTGCATCTTGCTAGGATTAAACGTGTTAGGTGTCTACAAATTTATTTATAAAAATGTTTTAAAAAATTTATTTTTTCTTTGTTATGACGCTTTTTTTTTGTGTCGGTCTCAAAAGACCTATGTGAAATTCATATGATATATGTTGGACAATTCAAATAAGTGTTTTAAATTTTATTTTTGTTTTGACACATATATATATTATTTTGACTCACCGGAGAGACATATATGTGAATTAAAAATATGTTAAATATGTTGTTGGATAATTCTTAACCATAACATTTTCATTAATACTATACATGAGTTTGAGTATATAGTTGGAAGTAGTTATCCTATACACTTGTATAGGTATATAGTTCACTAAAATAGTTATACAATTGTGTAGGTATATTAGGGAAATAGTTAGTTTTTTCAAATATATTGCACACTTATGCGAGTATATAGTTTAAGTAGTTAGTTTATAATTATGTTTGTGGAGAGCTTAAACTAACTAACAAACAACTAACAAGTGGTTAGTTAGTTAATTAAATTAGTTCAAAATTATATTTTATATGTGAATGAAATATATCTTTGTTACAACTTTAATTAATCACTTTGTTGCACAATAAATTTAGTTAAGTTAACAATTAGCATCGAGAGTTTGATTGTGTCAAAGAAAAAACACACAAAAAAATTACGAGACGAATAAAGAATTTGGAAACTCTTAGTGAGGTGTGTAAATTTTTCAAAGGCTCTTACAACAATTGTTTTGGACTGGGCCGATGCCTGGCCCATCGTCGGACAGGCCCAAACCCCATCTGGTCGGAAGGCTCAATAAGACCTCATCGACCAACAGTAGAAGGTCTGTCGGTCAGAACATCTTCTCCCGTCGGACATAGACCAGCATCCGTCGGGCAGGACCTTCATAGCTGTCCGACCAGCCTTCTTCTGCCCCATAGTCGGGCAGAGCCCAGCCAGCCCGGGAAGCTCCTTAGGTCTCCCTTACGTTCCCTATGTGTCCCCTACGCGAGGACACATCATCAAGTAACTACCCGTGTCTTGATATTTGGTCCACCACCTCCCGGATAGCACGGAACAGTTACACTAGGACGAAGATCACGTGCTAGTCTTTGTGACGCCAGGTCAGCCCTAACAGTTACCACGTTGGGCCTGGCAACCCAACCCAACGCATGGTAACCGTTGGTCCTGCGCTGGAGGCTCATTATAAATACCCTTTTCCACTAGAGAGTCAGGTAATCAATTCTCACTCCTTTTCTTTGTACTTGTAATCGCTCTGTCTGTCACTTACTTTGGCATCAGAGTGTGTTTCAGGTACACCCCCCTCTGTCCGTCAAGTCTACCGTTCGACAGCTCAGACGCGTGGCAGCCCAGCGATCTCTCTGATCAGGTACGATCAACAATCATGAACATAAATTATAGATTTCTTTCTAACATATTTGATTCTTGATGTAAGTAATTGAGAAAGATATAATGCCTTAATGAAATCATTATTTAGAGCTCAATATCTGTTTGAGATGGTGTAAAATGACAATGAAGAACGTTGAGCAAAACCCATACAAAGGAGATAATACTGGTAAAAAAAATATTTTTAATATACATGAATGGTGGTGCACTCCAATTGTTTGATCCATACAAGAAGATGATACTAAAGTTAAAATTGTTATGGAGCATGACAGTTAAATGTATCATTCATAATGCAAAGGAGGTGTGCATATCAAACATTGAGGAGCCTGAGTGGTTGTGGTATATGATGTTTTATCATCTAATTTTAGATGCCTAAGTGAAATGAGCTCTAAGAATTTAGTGTATTTCCTACCTAAATTAAATGCATACACAATGACATGTGAAATATATTTAAGAGGAAACAAAGCAGGTTAGATTTTGCATCAGACATGTCTAAGAGATCAAATGATGCACAAGAGGTTGTAAATTCTGATATATGTGGCCCTTTTTGAAGTATCATCACTAGGTGGAAGCAAGTATATAATAACTTGTGTGTATAAACTTATAAGAACGTTTTGGATGTATACCATCGAATTCAAAAGTGAAGCACTTAAAGTGTTCAAGAAGTTCAAAACCTTGATTGAGAAGGAGAATAAGAAAGTAATAAAGGTTTTGAGAACTAACAGTGGTAGAGAGTATACCTTAAAGGAGTTTGAGTAATTTTGCATCAATGAAGGCATAACACGTGATGTTATGTCATCATATACTCCTCAATATAATGGTTTAGAAGAGAGAAGAAACATGATCATACTAGACATGGTCAGAAGTATGTTAAAGCATACTAGGAGGTTAGCTTAGACAACTAGTAACATAGCTTTACATATGCATTAATGTATGTAAATTTAGGTGGATCATCATGCAGGTACATGCATAATTGTAACCAAATTTTGCACCATCCACCATGCATTCTTTACTATATATAGGTGGTTATGGTTTTGTACAACTTGAGAGAGAGATTGAATGAATAATGTGAGAAATACATTTTATCATGGTATCAATTGTCGAGTCGATCCCTCTCTCTCTCTCTCTCTCTCTCTCTCTCTCTCTCTCTCTCTCTCTCTCACGCGCGCGCGCACACACACACACACTCATTTTCCTAACATAATCATGTTATGTAACTAACTTTCTCTCTCTTCTTCATCTTCTTCATTGATCTTACATGAAATAATCTTCCAATATTACATTGATTGCACCAGGTGGAACTCTTCGTCAATCATCACTACACATGGTATTTTCTGCACCTGATTTATCCACTTCACACCATTTTGGTCTGAAGCTTTTAATCAAATTATAAGAGCACAATTACCTGCTCTGGAATCAATAGGTTGAAGGTATGATCCTAGCTCAGAGAGCTTATAAAGTGGTTGTGAATCCTCACATACTGATTAAGTTCAAGACGCCTCAAGATTAACTTGAAGGAAAAATCTCTAATGAATATAAAAAAAATGAATCATTTAAGATCAAGCTATTTTCACCTGGCTTCTCTCCACGATATATGAATTTTTTTCTTCCTTACATTCTCTCATGCAAGCATGCCTTTAAAGTTTGGGATAGGATTCAAAAGTACTTCAATGCGCACATGAAAGCTTGTGTTCACCAGCTATGCATTAAACTGAAATCCATCAAGAAAGGTATTAGTTCAATCACTGAATTTGTGTTACATGTTAAAGCTATTGTGAACTCGTTACTTGTAGTTGGAGATATTCTTTCTGAGCATGATCAAATTGGCTACATCCTCAACGACCTTCCTAATGAGTGTATTCCCTTTTTTTTAATGAAAATGCATTGAGCTCATGAGCTTTAATCTCTATATGATGTTGAAGCACTCATCTATGTTTAGGAGGCGTAACTTGATAGCTTCGCTAGAATTTGGTTGTGCCCTCTGTTTTAGCAAATGTTGTAAATGCT